TTAAAAATAACTGTTGTAACTTTTCATCGCGATATATCTTTCCTTTTTATAGCAATTAATTTGACGCTAAACTTTTTATCCGAATATTTAGCAACATGGAAAATTGTTTGTCAATCCTTAACTACAAATTTTTTGCAATGTTTTTAATAAAAAGTAGTAATTTTTTAAAGTTTTCAATAAAAAACTTGAAAAAAAATTATATTACATAATTATTAATACAGAATATAAATGTTTTTTGTAATATAGATTTTTTAAGAATTTTTTACTTTTATTTATAATAAAAAACATTTGCAAAAAAAATTTTGTTATCATGATAACAAAAATATCAAGACATTTTTTCGAGATATTAAAAAAAATGTCTTTGCCTTTCTTATTAGTTAAAGGTATATAGATACCTTTACTTTTAAGTTATGCGGAGGGCGGGGGAGGGGGTCAGCACAGAAAAAAAAATTACCTGTTACTCGCAATATTTGAATGAAGACAATTTATTAAATTTCTTCTGCGTGCGATTCAATAAGTTTTTTTCATAAATCAAATTATATTATAAGGTAAAGAAATCATGAGTAGACTACAACATCCGCTGATGACACTAATATTACGTTGAATATATTTATATAATGGAGGTTTCATTATGCACGCGCACATTACAGGTTCCGTTATATAAATACTAAGGCACGTTTTAGTTTAATGACAGTCTCCATTTTTTACTAATGAATATGTATTTTTCTTTATAAAACAAAACAAACTAGCATATAAAAACCTTGTATATTTCTATTCTCTCCAAATTGTTTAAAGTTCAAATATAGATTGTATTTTGAAGGACAAAAGATTTACTTTAAAAACTTTTAAATCTTGGGACTTTGCCGATGCGATGATTACAGAAAAAGAGAAGACTTGCGTTATTAAAATCAAATGTAAGTTATGTGATCTTCATCAAAATAAAATATTATTCAAAAACAATGGTGCCGTAAGGGCAACTCCCCAATGGTTTATAAATAACGGTTTATAAATATTTTAACATGTTACTATATTTTAATTAAGTTGATATATAATTAACAATAAAAATATAGTTCAATAAATAAGTTCAATTTGTTCTTAACAAAGATAACCTCATATTTATTCTTTTTTTATTTTATTATGTTAAATTGCTTACATACGAAAAAAAAAAAGAGTTTTGTAATTATACGTAGAATGAAAATACTTTTGAGTTTGTTTATAAGTTAAGGAACTTAATTTTTAATAAACAAATTTTTACGAACGTTTATTATAAACAGATATGATTAAAATTATTAAATATACTTAAATTATTAAATATTTCAGTTGAGTATTTTTTTAAGTTAGCACGATTAAAATTTTGCGTAGAAGTATTTGTTTTTTTGTTTTAAGAATAATGAACAAAAGAGTTCACATAATTAAGACTTTTATATTTAATTTAATTATTTTTTTTAAATTCCTAAAATTAAAAAAAATAGATTTAATTGTTAAAAACAATTTTTCTCTATAGCTCTGTTTCTTTGTGATTTGTTTAAAAAGTAAAATATTTTTACAATAGCATAAAAAATTTATGAATTAAATTCCTGGAGAACGCGTTCTAAACTATGTATCAAAAATATGCTCAAAGCAGACAAAACTTTTTTATATTTTTATAAAACGCAAGTTGAAACACTAAGCAAGATAAATTTTAAAAATATTTAAAAACCCAAATTTTTCTTTGCTAGTCAAAACAAAATCGTTGTTTAAATAATTAACATGGGTTTGTGTTTATCAATGCTAATATTTTTTGTTTACTCTAGAAATTTTTAAAAAGAAAAAAAATCATTTTTATTTTTTATTCAATAATGATTAAACACAATCATTCAAAAACAAATTTCAGAAATAATTAAAATATATATATATATATTTTACTAAATAATATTGAACTAAAATTAATAGTAAAATAGCAATTGAAAACATTACAAAATTTTGATAATAAATTTACATTTAAAATGTTTATAGTTATTCGAGTTAAGAGTTAAATTGAACTAATTTGTGGTTATTTATTTATTGCGGTTGTTAAAACACTAACATCTATAAAAAATTAAAGATAATTTTATGACGCCAAAATCGCGTTAAGCTAATGCATTAAGCACATTTTTATTTAAAACAAAGCCTGATATATATATATATATATATATATATATATATATATATATATATATATATATATATATATATATATATATATATATATATATATATATATATATATATATATATATATACACGATAATATCAGTGGTCCTCAATCGGAAAAAATAAAGAAAAATCTAATAAAAATTTTTAGAGACAATTTTAATTTTAACATCACTATCAAACCAAACTTAAAAACCATAAATTTCCTTAATATCACATTTAACCTTTCTGAGAACTCTTTTAAACCTTATAGAAAACCAGGAGATAATCCTTTATATATTAACATCAATTCCAATCATCCACCAAGCATTATTAAATCAATACCAAAAATGATCTCTAACCGCATCAGTGATATATCTTCAAGCAAAGAAGCTTTTTGGTAGAGCCGCACCATTTTATAATAATGCTCTCAATTCTTGTGGATTCAAAGATAAGATCAATGCCGACCCTAATTCAGAGGGTTATATATATATATATATATATATATATATATATATATATATATATAACCCTCTGAATTAGGGTCGGCAAACTGAGGTTGGCAATTTTTTGCCTCAAAGTGTTTGAGGTCGGCAAAAAATTGCCGACCTCAGTTCTATGTTTTATGGTAAGACCTTTATATCAAATTTTTTTTGCCGACCTGATGATATATTATGAGAAATATGTCAAGTTACCAACTTAGTTCTAACTTGCTAACCTGATATATTATGAGAAATATGTCGGTTACCCAATTTAGTTCTAATTTTTATGAGGTTTTTTCAAGTCCAAGCAAGGTACACAGCACATCAAAATATTCTGATTGTCCTGAATAAGCTGAGCCAGGTACTTGGCACATATACATTACCAGGCTTAGACAGGAATGGCATGAGATCGAGCCCTATTGTAGATCACACAAATGATTTTATTTTTTACAACTTGACGACTACTATTAAGATGTTTAGATAATTTTTGAGCATTTCAGAAAGCGTTATATATGTTATTCTTAAATTGTATAAACATTTATTTTTTCAAAAAAGTTGCACAAAACAAAAATTGTTTCAAAAAATACCTTAGTCTATTTAAAATAGTAATTTTCAATCATTTCATGCTCTGATTAGTTAGTCAAGTTAAAAATAGAAACAAATAAAATAAAACAACTGAATCATTCAATTGCAATGGAATTATACATACTTTAATTTTTTTTAAATAATTAGAACAGAAAAAATGGGATGGCAAAATTACCCCAATAAAATCTAATTTGGGGGAATTTCACCACCTATGTTATTTACAACATAAATTTATTATTTTAAATTATAAATCTCAAAAACACATTTACAATCAGATAAATAAAAGAAATCTTACAATATTCAATAAGTGGGGGCATGGCCATCGATGCCAAGAGGTATCGGGGCATGTTCCCCCCTCCACCTTTTTTACCTTTTTTTTTTTTTTTTTTCAGAAATGTAGGATATTTTGAAAGCCATGAAGACAGTCCTGGGGGAGGGGGATTTAGTTGACAAAAAAAGAGTTTTAAAATAATCAAGCTAACTTAAAAAAAATCAATTCACAAATAATAATACATAATGAAAAGATAAAAGTCTAAAACTCATTGTTTTCTACATTTTATTGAGCAATAAAATTCTATTGTATTTTTTTTGGGTCCATATTTTTCACTAACCCATTTTCAACAAGAACTTTTTTCACATTGCAACCAAAGCTTTTGCTGATCAGTTGTTGCGCTGTTGAATTGCTTTTGACACTTTACTGCATTTATCCTCTGCTATACTTGAATTTCTGTTTTCGCCGTGGTCATTTCTGTTTTTGCCATTGTGAGCCAGACATTTTTAATGTGACAGTAAATGCCCGAATCAAGTGGTTGGAAAAATGTTGAAGAATGGAATGGTAAAAAAGTCGATATTATACTTTTGAAATGCTGCCATAGAAACATGAGTTAAATGACTATCAGCTATTAAAACTACTCTGCCTTCACAATTTGCATTTTTAAAAGGAATGAAGATAATCCATTGTACAAATTGATCCTCCTCCATCCAACCAGAAGGGGACGCAGTGTAGTACCTACCTGAAGGTCCACCAATACCCCATTGAGCCCAAAAATGTTTTGCTTTGAGACAACAAAAGCTGGAAAATAATCACCGTTGGCATTGCAGCAACTATTGACAGCAATTATTGTAATGAACTTTTTCATTTTTGCCACCAATAATAAGTAGTTGCCTTGCTCCTCTTCTAACTAAGATTGTTTTTTAACCTTGATCATAATCAAAACCGACTTTTTCACAGTTTAAAATTTAAAGTGTTTTAAAAAATGAAATGCTTAGTGCTTTGCGTTGACTTAATTCATTTGACCAGCGTTGTTTGAAACTTAGCTACCACTTGTTTGTTGGGATTTATTCTATTTATATTTTTGAACTCAATCTCTCATTTAATTAAATGGTCCTTTTATAAATAAATTAAAAATGGCTGATATGTAAAGAGTGATTTTTTCATGATGTAAAACTTTACATCCAAAAAAAAAAAGTCAACATTTTTTTAAATCTAAAATAAAAATTGCTTTAACACATTGCATATGGAGCAATATTCAGTGGTTGTTGCTAAAATAGGGCAGATAATTGGCACTATAAGTTCATAAATCAAATATTTTTTTACTCAATTGAAGCTATAAAAATAATATTTTTAATACTATTTTTATTAACTATTGATGACTAGCTACAATTGTATACTCAACAATAATAGTGTGGAACATGATTTTATGCGCACTACGGAAAACAAATATACTAGGGTTAGACCACAGGCCATCGATCTGTATCGTTCAGTTTCGTAGTGCAGTAATGAGCTCTAACCGTTTTACAAATTATTTCGCGTTTTAAGGTATAATAAATTGATGGGTAAAATTTCTCAACTTGTAATCGCGCAGTTTTTAAGTTATAGCTCTTTTAAATTTTCAAACTTTAACCTTATCGTGTGTTTCGATATCTCTGCGCCATATTTTTTTTTGTCGATTTATTGTTTGTGTATTTTACAGAACACAATAAACTCTAAAAAAAACTTTAAAATTATGTTCGACAAATTACACAAAAACACAATATAATTAATTTTTTTTCATTATCCATAAACAAAATGTCAGCCGAGTGCCACAAACCGTTCTGTATTGTTCATTTAACTGGATGCAGTGGCGTGTTAAATAAGTTTTCTAAAAAAACGTTTGAAAATTTTTGTATAAAAAGAACGAAATGGCTTTCTCTTGCGGAGGAAGGGAAAACTGTTGCGGAAATTTCTCTCAATTTTGTTGGGAAAGATGTTTCATTTGAGAATCTTTATGCTACAACAACAGGAAGCACTTGCTCTCCATATTATCATTTAAAATGTTACCAAAAGTTCACTGACAAAGTCCTTATTGCAAGAATAGAAAAAAAAATTAATGAATCTAAAGCTAAAAATAAAAGACGATCTACTTCACCAACAACACTTTGCACTAGAGGTAGAAAGTCCACAAGAAAATGCAACAGCTCTAACAGTAATCGTGATAGAAATAAGACTCACATTTTACCCGAAATTTGTTTGGTTTGTGAAAAGGTGGAGAAGTACTTTATGGATAAGGTAAGATTGTCTGATAATATATATATATATATATATATATATATATATATATATATATATATATATATATATATATATATATATATATATATATATATATATATGTATATATGTATATATATATGTATATATATATATATATATATATATATATATATATATATATATATATATATATATATATATATATATATATATATATATATATATATATATATATATATATATATAATTTGTGTGTGTGTGTGTAATATGTATAGCTTAGCAATTCTTTACAGATCATATATTGCATAGCTACTCATATTATTTTATCTATTAAATATACTATTATATTATATGTATATTTTTGAATTCTCTTTAATTTACTTATTAAAATTTTTTATTAGATGCAACTAAAGCGATCTGTGCAATATCTAACTCTGGCAGAAACAAAAGATGCAGGATTACTTCATGAAGCTGCAGAGCAAAAAAATGATGGGCGTATACTCTTGCAGATAAAAGACAAAGACTGTGTTGCTGTAGGGGTAAGATACCACAAAATATGCTACACTTTATACACCCAAGAGGTACGCAATATTCAGCGATGTCCAAAACCTAATTTAGATATTTCTAAAAATTATGATATTGCTTTTCAAAAACTTTGTGAAGATATTGTTATGGAAAGAATTATAAACAATAATGAAATTATGACTCTCAAGAGCCTTCTAAAAAAGTTTATTTCTTTTATAAATCAATTTGAAAATAGTGACATAATAATATACCAGTCAACTAGATTAAAGAACAGACTTGTTTCTAAATACCCTAATTTAGTATTTCATAAACCAAGTAATAGATCTGAAAGTGAAATTGTTTATATATCGAACTGTAATGTAGGATTTGCTGCAGAATCTTTTGTTAATAATAGTTCAACTGAAAATACAGATGAAGATGATAGTAATAGTCATGATGACAACACAAAAGAAATTCCTAAACAAAATATTAGTATAGAATTGATCCATTTTTACATGGTGGCATTAGAGTTGAGAAAGGTTATTCAAGGAATAGCTGATTTCACTGGGATTTGGCCTCCAGTTTCACATTTGTTTACCATTGAAAATTGTGTTGAAAGTGTTCCAATAGTACTATATAACTTTTTATGTCTTGTTCTTGGTTTTTCTGATGAACCTTATCTTTATAATCAACGTCATTCTATTACAACACCACTTATGCTTAAAGTTATTTCTATTGCACAAGATCTTATTTATGTTGCATCAAAAGGGCGAACCAATACTTACAAACATCTTGCACTCGGTATGACAGTCAGACAACTTACTGGATCCAGCAAGCTTATTGACATTTTAAATGGATTTGGTCATTGTGTATCAAGTTCAACTGTCACTCGTCACGAATCTGCGTTAGCAGCATTAAATGTGATGGTTAATACCATTGTTCCATGTAATGTAGCAAAAAAAAAGTTCACAACTCTAGTATATGATAATGCTGATTTTCTTGAAGAAACTCTCTCTGGATCTGGAACAACTCATGTTACTCATGGAATTTGCATTCAGGAAAAATACAATTGCAATTTTAGCAACTCTATCCAAGTTAGCAGAAGATTAAAAACTGTTCCATTGCCAAAACAAGTGGTTCAACCATATCATTTAGGAAAAAAACCATCATTTAGTGTTTCATATGATAGCCAAAGTTATTTTACTCAAAATAATCTATTGGATTTGACACCTTCCACAAATGTCAAAGAACAATTGCATTTTATTAAATATGATCTGGCCTACTGTTTTATCAAGTTGCCAACTATAAGCTCAGAAATTCTACCTTCATGGACAGGTTTAAACACTATAATGTCTGATAAAAATATGCTAACTACTATTGCTTACTTACCAGTTATTGATGCACCTGTAACTGAAATATCAACTATCAATGAAATTTTGAAGCAAGCACTTACAATTGCTAACACGCTTGAACTAGCACATATTGTGTTGGTTTTTGATGAAGCTGTCTACTCAAAAATACAGTTAGTTAGGTGGAAGACTGAAGAATACTTAAGCCGTATCGTAGTACGTCTTGGTGATTTCCATATGTTAATGTCATATTGTAGTGGAATTTCAAAAATTTATGCTGATGCAGGAATGCAGGTAATTTTTTTGAAATTTGTATAGATTAACACAATTTTAACTGTAAAAATAATTATTGTACATTATATTGTATACAATATTACAATATACAATATTGTATATATATTAGGTTGAAACTTATATACAACACAGTAACATTAAAGAAATTTTTTTGCAATATAATTTGGCATAAACAGTTATTAAAATTTATTAGGATATATTTATTGAATCTGGAATTGTGGCATCTGGTTCCATTAACGGAGTCCTATCAGGGAAACATTACAATCGATCTGTGCGTTGTCATAAAACATTGTATGAAGCACTTCAACGCCTCTGCTTTCAATCATTTTTGGATTCCTTGGTGAATGAGGAAAATTGTGATATTATTGAATTTTTGTCTGCTATGAGAGAATGTATTGTTAAAGAAAATGATGACTTTTATTATCACAATTATAAGGTATTTTAGTGAAACTTTATTTTTCTTTTTAAGGCTTTTTAAAATACACTTTAAGATAAAAACAAACAAAAAACTTCTTAAAACTTCTTGCAAAATTTTTTCTAAAATTATAGTATAAAAAAATTTGTATCACTTTATATTTATAGCAGTAAATATTGCATATTATTTCTCATAAAAGGAAATTAAGGGGATATTGTTAAACAAAAATTTGAATAAACCAAAATGTAATTATTTTTCAGGATTATATTGAGAGCCAGAAGTTTGAGAATCTGTGTCAACGGTACAAAGATTTTGTTGATGTACAGTGCCAAGAAAATGCCACATTCAACTTTTGGTATAATTACATAGATATGATACAAATTTTGCTTTTACATATACGAGCTACGCGCACTGGAGATTGGGCGTTACATTTATCAGTTGTTAGATCGATGCTCCCATGGTTTTTCATTACAGATAGAGTTAATTATGCGCGATATGCTACTTCTTACTGGGTGGAAATGAAGAGATTAGCAATAACTCATCCAGGTAGCTTTAATACATTTAGCTTTAAAATAAATATTTGGTAATCTTCCTTTGTTTTAAGAATATGCGTAGTGTATTCATTGATAATGCAAAATGCAACTACATAGTTTAAATTGTTTTATATAAATAATAATATAATTTCAATTTCTGAAAATATACTCTAGCTTATTTTAATATAATATATTTTAGCTGTTAATGATGAAATTCACAATAACTGGACTTCTCAACGACAGGAACAATATGGATTTTCTAGAGTTGCATGTGACCAGACAATTGAGCAAACTTTTAATAGGGATTCGAAAACACAAGGAGGCATTGTTGGGTTTACTCGAAAACGATCAGCTGTTCATCGTTGGATCATGGCTCAACATCAACGCTGTGCTATATTTAAACAATGTGAAATCATTTCGGGTAGTATATCTCATACACGGTAACTTTGTTTTCTTACTTTTTGCCTAATTTTAATAAAGTAATCTCTCTCTTTACTATCTCTCTTTACTATCATAGCTTCACACTGTAATGTTTACTGTATTTAGAGTAGTAGTTAGTAAAAGATTCAATTATTTCATGTTGTAGGCAGAGGAAAGACCTTGGCGTTAGTAGGATCAAAAAGGACGAAAATGCTATTCTTGATGTTCTATCAACAATTAAAACCATGGCAAACCCATTTGATTTAGAAACTAGTGTCCTTCTTCATTTATCTACAGGAGCAGTTGCAACTGTTCCACTGACTACAGATATGAGAAACATGTTGTGTACAGGCGAAGAGAAAGTTGTATCATTTATTAACACCAGAATACTATCAAGTGAACAGGATTTACACTCATCCATTCCTAAATCAAAAATTGTAACATTTTCCAGTATGTTAAAAAAGTATTCAGCTAAAACCTCAAATGGAGACTTAGTTACAGTAAAAAACACAAAAGATTTGTTTGCAAAACTAATTCTAATTGCCAAATCCAGAAATGTTGAGATGAGAGAAGTTTTAAAGTATCCTCTTCGTCCATATCCAATGCCTTTTGCTACAACAACTGGTGGCTTAGTAAAAACACAAAAGAGCAAGTTAATCAGTTTAATTGAAACTCCAGTTGTTGATGCTATAGTAGATAATGTTGAAAAAGGTAATGCTTTGATGATTGATGCTATGGCGTTACTACAGACGTTAAAAATTATTACTCCAACATTTAAAGAGTTGTCTGATTTTCTTCTGTGTACAGTTATTTCTATGGGAAACTCCTTTGGATCATCTCATATTGATTTTGTCAGCGACAGATATCCAGAAGTCAGTATAAAAGATCTTGAACGAGATAAAAGAGCTTCATTGGGAAGCCAGACAATCAAGATTATGAACCCTAACCAAAAGGTTCCAAAGCAGTGGAAAAAATACATGTCTGTTGGAAGCAACAAAGAAGATTTGGTAGACTTTTTATATCAAAGCTGGCAATTGAGTGATCCTAGTTTGTTTTGTGGAATTTCAGTATACATAACACATGGTGAATTTTGTCATCAATTCGTCCCTATATTGAAAACTGTTGTTGTGAACGAAGTAGCTGCTTTGCACTGCAATCATGAGGAAGCAGATACACGCCTTTTAGCTCATGTTGAACTCGCCATCACCAACGGGATTAAAAATATCATTATTCAAAGTCCGGATACTGATGTGTTTGTAATAAGCTTAAGTAACACGTTTTGTAAAGATAGTTGTCTATACTTTCTCACTGGAATAGGAAATAAAAGAAGGATTATCTCAATAAATGCTGTCATACAGCATTGGAATAAAAATTGGTGCCAGGCATTTATTGGTTTTCATACATTTACAGGTATTTTTTATTAATCAGTTTTCTTATGATTAACTATATATTAGTAGGAAGTTCTTTGTGATTATATTTAGTAGGTTAGTTGTTTGAGTTTGAAACACAATTCTCCAGGTTCGAACCCTTGGGGTCATTTGCCAATTAGATGGATTTTATTTTCTTATTATGCAACAAGATATATATTACAAAATTTTATGCTATGAATTTCTCTAAAATATTTAAATTTTTTAGGTTGTGACACAACAAGCTCGTTCATGGGAAAAGGTAAAGGGAAACCCCTTAAGGTCCTCTTTGAGTATACCGAATTTCTTGACACATTTAGTCGATTAGGAGATTCCTTTATAATTTCAGAAAGTGTTTTAAGTAGTCTGGAGAAGTTTGTCTGCTATATGTATCAAAAGAATTCTACTTGTAATTCTGTGAACGAAATGAGGTATCAATTGTTTAAATCCGGAATATACGACGAAGAACTGCTCCCACCAACTTTAGATTCTCTTAGATGTCATATAAAACGAGTTAACTATCAATCATATATATGGCGAAATGCAACTAAGCCTATTCATAATTTAGACGATTTCCAAAACCATGGCTGGATGGTTAGTGAATCAGGAATTGCCATTGAATGGCTAATGAATCCAGTAGCACCAGACAGTATCCTGAACTTTGTAAAATGTAACTGTACGACAGGTTGTGATACTAAACGCTGTTCTTGTGTAAAATCGGCTTTAAAGTGTTCAGAACTATGTAACTGCTCAAAGTGTGATAACACTGCTTTTGCTGACGATGAAGATGTTTATGATAATGGTGTTGAGGATTACGATGAGTACGAAGATGAATTTTTAGAAGATGATCTTTTATAGACCAAATTCATTACTTTTAAGTAATAGTTTTTAATTGTTGTATTTACGTATATTTTAAAAGGCTTTTTTAAAAAGAATAAAATTTTAAAATATTGTTTAACTGTCTAAATCGGTTATGAATCGATAAAATCGCTATTTTTACACGATAATAACACGTTAGTGCGAAACTTTTCTTTAATAATATATATTTTTTTAAAATTGTCTTAAAACCAATCAAAATTGCTAATCCAATTACATTCTGAAAAAAAAAAAAAAAAAAATTCATAGTTAACAGCTAAAATCGATAAAAATCGATAGATCGTTTTGATGGTTTTTTAAAGCTCGACATAAAAAAAACTGCGGGTTTTTGAACTGAGAAATTTATAGTTTATAATCTTAACACCTTAAAACGCTCATTTGCATCAAAATTTTTTAGAGCTCATGACTGCACCACGAAAATTGATTTTAAAGCATCTTTTTATGCTTTGGCCTACGGTCTAGGTCGAGTATACTTGTTTTCTGTAGTACGTATGAAAGTTTTTTATACAGAATACGGAAAATGAGTATACTTATCAGCAATAAAAGCCAATTGAATTGCTTTATTAGTGTTTGAATTCAATAAAATTGAAATTATTGCAGTGTAAATTATAAATTTCTTCAAAAAAAATGTTCTTTTTCTTATATGCACATGCACTGTACAGCTTGCACGTGGTAACGCTTATTTTTGGATTTTTTATAGTTATTTTTTCTTTTCGTTTTTCAAATAAATTTAATGGTTTGAATTAGTATAACTTTAATCTTTGTTTTATTATACAGATATCGATGTTTTATTATACAGATATCATCTGATATCGATGATTTTAGTGATGATACATATTCTTACTCCATAAGCTTGCTTCATATGATGTTTCTGGGAAAGTTTTTGAGATTATCAAATCATTTCTTTCTAACCGGTTTATTAAAGTCATCCTTGAAGGCCAACACTCTTCTTTATTTCCAGTAACTTCTAAGATTCCCCAAGGTTCCATCCTGGGCCCTGTTTTGTTTCTTATCTACATAAACAATCTTCCTGACAACCTTTCATCTAAAGTAGCTCTTTTTGCTGATGACTCAACTTATACTCCTGTCTTGACAAAAAGTCTTCTCTTTTCGATCGCCTAGAACAAGCAGCTGATCTTGAATCTGATCTCACTTCAGTAATAGATTGGGGTTCACAGTGGCTTGTAAATTTCAACTCTAAAAAAACCCAATTGCTTACTGCAAACAACTACCGCAATATGGTCAACATTCCTATATTAATGAATGGCAATCCTCTTACTGAGTCCTCCTCTTTACATCTTCTTGGATTATCGCTTACTACTGACCTTTCATGGAAACCATATATACAATCGATTGCTAAATTAGCTTCTGCTAAGGTTGCTTCTCTTTATCGTGCTCGCCATTTCCTTACTTCTGATTCCATTCTCTACCTCTACAAATCTCTTATTCGTCCCTGTATGGAATACTGTTGTCATATTTGGGCTGGTTCTTCTAACGATTCACTTTCTCTTCTTGACAAGGTCCAAAAACGCATTGTAAATGTTGTTGGACCTGGACTATCTGCTAAGCTTGAACCTCTTTCCCATCGTCGTAAAGTTGCATCTCTTTCTCTTTTCTACAGATACTATCATGGTCACTGCTCAAAGGAGTTATCATCTCTAGTTCCATCAACTAAAATTCATTCTCGTTTTACTTGTCATTCAGCTAAGTCTCATTTGTTTACAGTATCTGTCCCTGCATGCTCTAAAAACTTTTATTCATCTAGTTTTTTTCCCCGCACTTCAACCCTTTGGAACTCTCTCCCATCTTCATGTTTTCCTGACTCATACAACCTTCAACTTTTCAAGTCTTCTGTCAACCGTTTCCTTGCTCTATAACTCTGTTCTTTTTTTTTTTCCTAGTAACTCCCAACTTAATAGTGGTTGCTTGCAGCCTTGTTGGGAGTGAATGCAAATAAAAAAAAAAAAAAAAAAAGATCAAGACTATTGGTCCTTATCTTGATTTTCAATTTAGAGGATATTGTTTAAGCTCGTTAAAAAGGTTAAAATACCAGGTCTCCAAGCAAGAGCTGAAATGCAAAGTATTGAAGTTATAGAAGTTTATCATCAATTAACTGTATACAAAAAACAAGTAAGGAGAGAATCAAGATATCAAGAGAATCAAGAGAGAAACAATATATACTTGTGGATGCTATGCTGACAAATTAGCTCTCTGTATTGATACCTGTTTTTAGAAATTGGTGGTTTTTACAAGGAGCTAAAATAATTCTGGGGGAGCTGGCTTTAAAGGCAACTCCAAGCTAGTTCCTCTTTTAAATAATTTAGAAAATCAAAGTATAAGTATTTTTTGTTTAAGGGATTCCTAAGTACTATGAAGTTATTTTTTATTTGAAAAAAAAATTTTATTAAATTGTAATTAATAATTTCATTTAGAGTTTTACGATTTCTAAATAAACAGGCCTTGCGATAAAGCGTCGGGCGATGTGAATTTTACGTCGTCCAAGAGCGATTTTGCGTGTAGCTAGAGCTATTTGCGTCGAGCAAAAAATTTTTTGTTTGAGTATATTTAAAGATATTTTTGAGCGGAATTTTAATGAAGTAATTTACGATTATTTTAACTTTTAATAAAGTATTTTAAAAACCGCACGCAGTTGAAATAAAAGTTTGAATTTAAAAAAATTAAATATGCTCATTATTTACAAGTAGAAAAAATTAAAAAATTAAAAAAAAAGTTTAAATCTTTTAAGCTAACATTTAATTAAAATTATTCAGCAATAGCAAAGTTGTCGATAAAATTGAACAAAAATACTTTCTTTCAGTTTTAGATTTTAAACTTAAATAATTATTTTACGGGGGTAGGTTAGGTTTTAAAATTATTCCATAGATTTAAAAATATTTATTAACTGTTAGACGTATTTAAAGTATTTAAGAGTAATTTCGAGGAAACATTTTAAAAATTGGTGAGGGCAAATAAAAAAATAAAAAAGGATTAATATTAAAACGTATTCTACTTGATTCAATAAAAAAAGTACAGTTATTAAAATTTTTGTAAAAAGTAACTCAAAAAAATTACTTAAATAATAACGATCGCTTTTATGTTAAAAGTTACCGAAACTCAATGAAGCGTGCTCAAGAACAGCTGCTGAAAAATAGAACGTCAATAGTTTTTCGAACAATTTTTAAGAATAATTTTTAAGAATAATTTTTTCGCTGAAATATTTCTTTTATACTTATAAGATTTTTATTCTAACATTTTATTTTATTTTACTAGAAATAAAATTCCTTGTTAACATTAAAAATTATTCAAAACATTCGTTTAAGTTTTTTATTAATACGAGTGATTGTGCTTATCAACCGCTTTTTGAAAATAAATAAAAATAAATAAATAAATATTATATAAAATCCCTAGTAAAAATATTAGCTATTGCACAGTTTTTAATCATACAATATTAAAATTTCCAGTTTATTACTCGCTGACTTTTTAAAAAGAAAAAAATAATTATTTGAAAAACTTTAAATTACATATTTAAAAAAAAAAAATCAAATATTAGCATATTTTATAATCTTTTTTAAATTTAAGTTATAATGTTTTTTATTTGTTTAGTATAGACAAAACGTGACAAACGTCGAGAAAATAAACAAATGTTTTTACATTTTAAAAAACGAAACATTCCAAATCATTTTTAAATAATAACATTTCTCATAAACGATTTAAAGTAGTTTTGCGGTAATTAAGTAAATTGGTGCAGTTAATGTCGATAAATATGAAAAGCAAATAAAAAGAATTTAATGACGTCAAAAATCACGTCGTGCTTATGCGTAGCGCAGTTCTTATTCATCGCAAGACCTGAATAAAGCACTTTATATTTTGATATTGATATCATATGTATAGATTGAACCTTAAGTATAAATTATACTTAAGCTGATGTGTTTAAAGATGTATTTGTAAACATTCAAAAAAACCACAAACAAACGTTTTTTTAAAAATTAATTTTGATCAAATTGTTTTTTGTAGAGTTTCATTTAGTTTATGTTGCTGCATACTTTAAAAGATACTTTGAAACAATAGAGATAATCAAACTTTAACAAAAAAAAATAGATGAGGAAAATTTTCTAGATAAAGCTATACAGGATGAGGAACATCTATGACAGGTAGGAAGTGACCGGTGCCCCAGCTGAAAATGAGATTTTTTGGAAACCTGGCCACAGCCCAACAAAATTATAAGATTTAGCAGAGATTGATAGCCCGGGCTAGAAAAAAAAAAATTATAATTTATAATTTATATCTTTTTACATTATAATTTCATTTTTACATTTAGTATTTATTAAACACTGATATAAATCAGGCTTTCACAGGAAGACGTGCGATTTCACGTCTTTATATGACCACGCAAAAAAAAATGTTTTAACGATTTGACCACGGCATATTTTTAAAATTTAAAAACGCGCTACAAAAACTTACGTAAACTTATCTGAAAAAAATTTTTTTTTAAATAATAAATATTAATGAAAAAGAAAATAAAAAAAATACTTAGTTAAAGCAAAAAACAAAAATATAAATATATATATATAACACAACTAAAACAAAACTCGTTAAACTAAAATGCTTAGTCTATTTAACTTACGCATTAAAAAACCTTTTAAATCTTTGTTTCAACATTTTTATATATTTTTTATTTATTTAATATGTTCAAAAGTTAAATATTTCTCATAAAAAAATACATAGTTATATAATAAAATAAAGAAATATTTTATAAATACTTTTTTTTAAATTAATTAGAAGTGTTTTTTTTTACTTCATTAAAAGCGTTTCGATAATATAAAAGCATTTAGGATCAAACTTATAAAACTTTAACGGTTTTCTTAAACTTTTTTTTTAACAAAATTTTGTTTATCTTTTTAAATGCATTAACTTTAATCATTCGTATATTTAAATTCGTTAAAGAGACTTTCATAGTCGTAGAATGTCATCGTTTATAAAAACAAAAAAATTTTTTATTTTTTAATAAGATTTATTTTAGAAATGAACACTTAAACAATTTATATGTTTTAAATTAAAAAATATATATACAACTGTCAATTATATTTAAAAAACAAAACTCTTTTTCAGTAAATTGTTACTCTATTTAAAATCGTTTCGCTAATATAAAAACATTTATTAAGAAGTTTTGATGTAATTCATTTTACTTTTTTAGAATATTTTTTATTTAGCGCATTTCTAAAATGTTTTTTGAATTAGCCGCGGTCAAACTGTCATAGCAAAATGTAACTTGCGTGGTCATATAAAGATGTGAAATTGCACATCTTCCTGTGAAAGCCTGTAAATGTATATATTTTTAAACTCTAACTTACTTCCAACAAAATTGCAATCAACCACAATTAAGTTATGAATTACTTTAAAAGAGAGGATAGGTTAAAATACTAGGAAATGGTTAACTGAAGACTTAAAAAGTTGTATAAAAAAGAAAAACATGAAGATGGGTAAAAGTTATAAGATTTTTTTGATGTGCAAAGAAAAAAACCTGGATTAATTAAAGTTTTTATAGAAATGCAATCTTACAACAATGGAGAGTGGCTCAAGCTTGGCAGATAAAGCAGGTTGAATTATTTATTCTAAATATTTTTTGCACTAAATGTTTTGTTGTCTAACAAAAATTGTGGATTTTAAGTCCTGAATTTAAATCCACAAGCCACTGCAAGGCGTAGGCTGTTATAGGAGCGAGATCAGAATAAAAAACGACAGCTTGTTTTAAGCAACCAAAAAGTGTAGATTATTTGTCAAGACAAGAGTATAAAGTTGTAAAATTCTCATAAAGATTGTTATTGTAGATAAGAAAAAATACAGGAGCAATCATAGAAATAATTTAATAATCTCAAAAACTTTATATAAAGAAACTAATAAAAGAGTGAAGACAAATTGCAAGATAGCTGGAAAGGTCAAGGTGTTTTCTAGAGTTTTGAAAAATTGGAACCATTTACTAAGTAATTTTTAAAAGTTTATAAAAACTTGAAGAAAGTTATAGAGAACATTTTTCTTAGACTATGATGGAAATCTTGTCTGGAGCACAAATTGTAGAAGTGTTTAATTAAGAATTAACTTTAGCATTGGAAGCCAGAGTGATTTGGATGCTTAACAATAGGTTAATCTGTTCAACTGGCAGAAAGAGTATGGTCATTGTATTCAAGAGTCAAATTAGAGTAAGATTTATTTGCAAATAACTCTGCCATATTCTGGGGAGAAGTAAAAAGATCAGACCCATGAATTTAGATGCTGGCATACAATATCCTTTCATACTTATGTAAACTTTAGTATTTATATGGTGTAGTATTGGCCGAAAGAGAAAATGATCAGATGTGTGGTGTGACTCTAACAAAACAAGAAAAGGAGGCATAATCTTAGATAAATTAGAAAAAAACATTGTATTGAATAACATTTGTTAGAGAAGATAAAAGTGATTTAGGTTTCAGCATGTTGAGAAGTAGCAGCTTCAGGAGAATATCATAGTGGAAGAAGTAAGAAAACCTAAAAAGAATGCCTTAGATATTGTATGATTGAGCTTTATTTAAGAAAAAAAAATGCTCTAGATTGTTTATATTAGAGAAACAGTATAAAAGAGGAAGGCTAAAACCTGATGATGATAATGATGATGATGATGATAATGATGATGATGATGATGATGATGATTATAATGATGATGATGGTAATGATTATTATGATGATCATTTTGATCATAATGATGTTTATACATGCATATATATACAAAATATAACATGAATTTTCAATTACAAAAATATATTTTAGGATGTATAAATGTTTATGCAGCCCCGGTCATAAACCCGGCCCATGATATATTTTATCAAACTCGAATGAATTTTTTGACCTCAGCTTTAAAGCCAAGTTTTAGTTGTTTTAGCTGCCTGTTTTAGATTGTATCACCATATAAATATAAACATAGGAGAAACAGGTAACGCATCAACAGTTTCGAGCGATGAAGATGATATATAATACTTATATATAAATGTTATCTTAAAATCTGCAATTTTTTTAATGAAAAAATAATCGAAAACATACCTTTAATATGTATATTTATAATATCTTAAAAACACCTCTAAAAACTGTAAAAAGTTTCTTTTTTATTTAAAATCAAAAATAAATTTAAATATTGACAATTGTGTGTTTTCACTCAAAAACATAAGTGATCGATATTTAGTTTGAGATTTAAAAGCAATTTTAGAGAATAAAACCTTCAGAATAAAAAATTATAAGCATTTAAAGTCAAACCAGTATATTCATCGTCTGTATACAAGGAGAGTTTCGTTCAACAAGTATACTCAACTTTTATCAGCATTTTATTTGAGTTTTTTCATAACTATTTTTAAGTTACTTTTTTAAAAAATTCTTTTAACAAACTTTAGAAAAAATTTTTCATTATTTTTTGGCATTTAACTGTATTTAGTTATATAATATTTGAATAGTTGTATTTAATAAGCTACTATTTATGGTTAATTGATATAAAACGCTGTGCTAATACCATTGCTAGTTGGGATGTGTACCTGTTTCATTAAACAATCAAAAAAGAAAACAAATTTTTACCACCACCTTAAAAAAAGCAACACATTATAATACATTACTAAACTATGCAAAAAAATTTACCTGCCAAAGATTATCATTATGTACTTTTTTATTATTAGCATCTATCACATTTCTTCCACCTAACTTTACAAGCAGTGAAAATGACTTGTAGAAATGCTCTCTAGAGCTTTTTTCTTTTTTAAGATCAATATTTAAAGATTTTGTAACAACATAATTGACAGGAGCTTTTTCACTATCCTCGGCACCAGCCTTATGATTATAAATTGATTTAAAATTTTTAGATGAATTCACTCTAATAAGTTTTGATACATGTGGTAAACTTTGAACATTTGAATCATCTGTTACTTCTTTTTTGTTTTCTTTTTCATTTTTTTTCTTATGGATTTCTGCTAAAATATTAGTACTTATTAAAGATTGATCCACCTTCCCTGACTTTTTAAGTAGTGGATATTGATGTATTCCTAATTTTATCATTTTTGAAAAATTGCTCTTAGCTAAGTTTTTATTCACTGCATGATTTTGACTGTAACAACTTAATTCTCTATTTGCTTCCGGTTCTCCATCTACAGAATCACTTTTATATAAATGAGAAAGTTGATTTGGAGAATTGTTTTTAAGTTCCTGTATAACCATCCTCTTTTTATTTACAATTTCATTATTAAAATTATTATTTTTGTCGTCATTTAAGTTGTTTGGTAGAGTAAAAGCATTAGTAGAAATAGCTGAATTAGTTTGTTTTTCTGAATAGCATTGCGTTAATGGAACACATTCGTTTTCTTCAGAAGACACTAACTTGCTGATTTGAAAAGCAGGTAAGATAGCCATTTTTGCCTTGAAAATAATCTATTTACATGTCATAAATGAACCCATGTAAAATATAATTGCATATTTATTATACAGGATATATATATCTATCAAACTATTTAGTCATAATTGAGTTGTAAAATAAATAGTAATAACTGATGTTGACAAAATTGCGATCAGGCGATCGGCGGAATCCCTATCTAGAATCCCGTCAAATCAAAATTACTTTGATATGTTTAAAAAAAAAAGACAACTTGACTCTTCTTTAACCTTAGTGCAGACGGCCAAGGATGGTTGTTTGCATAGACAGCGACTCGATTCTATTTACAGTTCAGAATCAACTGTGGCGTAACACGGGGGCGAGTCGCCGGTGCGGGGACGGCAAACATATTTTTAAAAATTCTAAAACTTATCTGTTTTGGATCCTACCCGAATTCCATAACACAGTACTTATCAAAATAAAAATAAAACCTAGCTGAAAACCTGCGAGAAAAGGTTTAAAAAAAGGAAAGTTGGTAAAAAGGTAACTTGGTAAAAAAGGTAACTTGGTAAAAAAATAAAAAAAAAGATAATTAAATATAAAAAAGCATTTAAATGTCAACTTTAAATTAAACTCATTAAGACGTTAATCGATTCCGCTAATTTATTTATTTTTATAAAATGTTTTTTAAATGCCTGCGTTTGGTAACTTCAGTTTGAACATTCATATCCATAAATTTATATGGCTAAGATATCAATTTATTATTTATAAATGTCAATAAATAAAGGGGAAAATTTTTTTATTTTGAAAATTTTTGACAATTATTGACAAGGGGGAATAATTTTAAAAAGTTGAAAAAAGGGAGGGGGAAGGTTAAAAAAAGTGACATCAACCATATTACATTTGATTTACTTAATAAATTAACTTTAATTAACTTATTAATTGGAAAAAAAAATTTTTGTTCCATTTTAAATTTTTTTTGCTTTTTTTTTAAGATGATATCCCCTCAAAGAAAAAATAAAAAAAATTAAAATGGAACAAAAAAATTTTTTTCCCTTTGATGACAAAATGACGTCAACATTTGATAATCGATTGACAGGATTTGAGGTCTCTGGAAGTTTGACAAGTTGTTGAGGGAGGGGGAGGGGGAATTCACTAAAAAAATGTTAACTTAATTGCTGGACAGCCCCACATCTAATTTGACCGAACTTTCAATACCATCTCATAAGTTCGGTCACTATATACATTCCAATCAACACTTCACAATATCCCAAATTTAACTTCCCAATAGCTAGGTATGAAAATTTCCTGGAAAATTTTCAGAAATTTGTAAAAAATTTTGGAAATTTAGGAAATTTTCAAAAAAAGATAAGTTATTTTATAATTAATGGGTAAAATTTTATGTCTTATTAAGGCAGTTTATTATGGACAATTTTATGGTAAAATATTATGAAGGTTATAAATTCCACTGTTATGTTTAAATAAGTGCTTGACTTGAGTCTCACTCGCTACAACCTTGCTAGAGGAGTTTTGACTTTATAAATCAATAAATTTAAAAATTATGCTATACTTTAAAATGGTTTAAATGTATACCGTATTTTTCAACCAACACTGCCAAGAGGGCAATTCGTGTGTGTGCGCGTGTGTGTGCATTTTTTTTTTTTTATAATTAATTTTGTCACCATATATTTTATTTTAATTCATGTATACATTTATAAATAAGATAAAAATTAAAATAATGACAGGAGCAAGTAGAAGACTGCAGTCTTATCATCAAGCCCCTTTCATTTGCGACTTTGCAATAAGTTTTACGTGAGCTTAACGTGACATTAAAAATTCATAAGTAGAAATAAAGCAAATATTTGGCCTTGTACGTAAAAAACAAATCCTTGTACGTAACGATTTGATAGATGGGTATAGAAAATAAAAACTATTTGTATTGTGATATAATCATCGTTTGTGGTTATCCAAAAGGGATAAGTTCGTTTTAGTTATTATTAAATTGATCTCTAAAAGAAGGAGAGTATGTTGACGTCACTTAAGTTAAATAGGCTTTAAAGAGATTTGTTGACTTCATGTTTTTTATTTCTGCTTTAAGGATCGAATTCCATAGCCGCGGTCCTCGAGATAAGGTAGAGAAATCAGTTATTTTAAGTGAAGTGTTCGGAATGTTAAAGTTTTGAAAAGAGTACTTTGTTGGGTATTTGTGATCAATGGTGGCATATGCGTGTGCATGTGTGTGTGTGTGTGTGTGTGTGTGTGTGTGTGTGTGTGTGTGTGTGTGTGTATGTATGTGTGTGTGTGTTTTACAAGTACAGTGATCGAAATTTACTTAGCCGCACACAATTTTTATTCGAAATTTTAATTTTTAAGGAAAATTTATTAGGTAAAAAAGAAAATATGATTTTTATTGTATAGCTTAGTTATTAAGTATTTTATTAGTAAAGTATTTATAATAAAAATATATCACATTAAAAATAGAAAAAAAAAAAAATAAGGAATGCACTTTTCATATGCGAATTTTCGTTAGACTTTTAAAAATTAAATAATGAAAAGGAAAAAAATATTTTTTTTAAATTTTAATATTTGGTGGGTCCTCCGTGGTTCTTAATCACTTCAAAAATTCTATTTGGCATTGAATTAATGAGCGATTGGAGTGTCATTGGTTGAATTTCTTGCCAACACCTATTGACTTCACCTCGAAGCTCTTGTATGCTGCTAAATTGTCGTCCATTTTCATAAACCTTTCGAGATAAGATTCCCCAAAGGTTCTCAATTGGATTGAGATCTGGACTATATGAAGGCCATCTCATCACTTCGATGTTTTTGGATTCAAACCATGCCATAGTTTCTCTTGATTTATGAATGGGTGTATTGTCTTGTTGGAAAATGGCTTGATCTTCCAAGTTATTTTCCAAAAAATCGATTAAGACATCTTCTAATAAATCTGTATAATTAATGGATTTCATTTTTGTCGATATAAAACATATCGGTGTCTTTCCATTGATACAAAATGCTGCCCATGTCATTAATGATCCACCACCAAAATTGCGTGACAAACGAGGTGCATTGTTTTTTCGCAAATCATGCCAGTAATAGCTAAAACCATCTGGTCCATCAAGATTAAACTTCTTTTTGTCAGAAAATACGACATATTTCCACTTTTCTCCAAAATCCATATATTTTCTGGCGAATTCAAGTCGTGCTTCTTTGTGTATTTGCTTTAAACATGGTTTTTTTAGTGGTTTTCGCCATTTTATATTATCAGATCTTGACAATATTTGTTGAACACGTCTAGAAGTGATTGTCAAACTTAATTCTGATATGATTTGACTCGCAGTTAACTTTTGTTTTGTCGCTAATTGTCGAATTTGTTCCACGTTTCTTTTCGTTATCTTGTAGTTTTTACGTATTTTTTGATTGACGCTATATACTGACCCAAGTTTCAAAAAGTTTCTAATCACCTTTTCAGATCGTCCAATTTTTCGTCCAATTTCTCTATTAGATAACCCGGAATCCTTATATGCTTTAATTAAACCTTTTTTATGGTCATTTAAAAATTTTCCATGTGCCATTTCACTAAAAATATGAAACATTGAATTTTAAATTTAAGAAAAACATTTTTATAAGTCAATTATGAAATTACTTACAATTTAAATTGATTTTTTCAACACCAAAACTAAAAATTATATCTCAAATTTAATAAAACAGAACTGCGTCTATACAAATTTCGCACTCAAATAAATCAAATAACTAAATTTTTTTATATAAAGAAATTATAAAAACAATGATATCAATTATTGTTTAATTATCAATTAACAAACAATGGTATAAATATATCACATACAGAAATTTCTTAATAAAACGTTTAATTAAGTCTCTATAATGAAAAATCTGATAAAAATTGTGTGCGGCTAAGAAAATTTCGTTCACTGTATTATGCCAAGCAAATTAATTTATTATTATTTTACTGAACATTCAAATCAAATTCAAATCAAATGTGTTTTCTCATGTCATTTTTAGATAAATTTTTAAAAATAGCTAAATAATTTGTAATATGCACCTTTTATAAGGATGATTTAAAATTCAATCTTTATACGTTAAAATTTTTTATGCAATCAGAGGCGGTTCTATGAATAAAATTAGCGGGGAAGGGTGAATCCTTAAAAAATACTGACTTGTTTCTTAAAAATAATAAAAAAAAAAGATCTTTAAAAACTAAAACTAAACCCAACTGAATAAATAATAAACTGTCAAATACCCAACTAGCCGACTAAACTCGTCAAAAGCCTATAACTTGAAAACTACCTTCTTTGTAAGGTGAAACACCCCGTTCCCCCACGCACTCTCCCCCAAAATTTGAACAAAATTTTCCGTAAAATTTTTGGACGCTAAACATACCACAATATCACAAATTTAAGATAACACAACGCAAATAACACAACGCAATAACATATCGCAATATCACAAAGTTAGCATAAAAGTTGTTATTTTATAATAAAATTATAAAACAAAAAAACATATTTCAGTTTTTTTTTAATTAACAACTTTGAATAATATGCAAAATTTTGAAATATACAAGCAAGCGAATTATTTCAGCGCGTTTAACTTAAATTTACGTTAATTTTTTTTTTTAACGTTTCGCTCAATTCTTGACAATAACGGTTCACAAAATTTCTACTTATCGTTATTTTTATCGTTGTTGTAAAAATTATAAATGATCAAAGTTTAAGTATTTTAAATTTCACCGATATTTTAGATTTTAATTGTTTAAAGAGATGTGGAATAAATATTATCTCTAGATTAAAACTACGAATTGATTATTACTTCTCATATATTTCAAAATAACTCAAGTCACTTAACATAAGTTATGAGAATATCCAAAATCCAAATATCCAAAATCACCAAGGTGGTCTTATAGGCTATTCACACGAGGATACATTTGATGGAACAATCCGTGAAACATGGACAAATATACTTTCTTGTGAACGCAACTTAAACAAAACTTCACGGAACATTTGAGGAACTTTTGTACCGTCACATATTGGGTCAGAATACCAGTTTTTGAGACAAAATTCATAAACATTTTTCTACCTTTTAGTCATATGTTCACCAAACTTGGCATGTGTACTAATGTGAGGTCTGTGATGCTTATGAAGGCAATATTTTTGTCGTTTGGTTGCTATGGATACCTTATTTGCATAGCAAGCACGTTTTTTGGTAATAATAAAGTCAATTTGAGACAAAATTATTATTGTCTT